AATGAGCCCCCTCAAATTTGAAGACCTAAAGCAATTGCTTTTTTTAAAAAGTTGTAAAGCCACTCATGTATAAAAAATGAGATAAAATAATCTTATGAAATATCTTTGCTTATTTCATCTCGCTAACCAAACGATCCAATGTAATATTATTTATTATGTAATATGTATACCAACTTTTTGGCTCAAACTTGTTGGTATTACTTACTCTGATGTAAACGGACTACTTGCGACCCCTCAACCATGAGATCCTAATTATATTGAATTAAGTTAATTAAATCGACTAAAATAACTATAAACAATATTTGATCAACAAGATTGTTAATGAACTAAAGGAGATTAGGAATAATTGCACGTTTGGTCCCTCAATTATTAATGAGTTCTAATTTTGATCTTAATAATATTTTGCTAAGCATATTTAACCTTCCATAACTAAAATATTTCTTTTTTATCCTTTATATAAGAAATATAATTGATGTTTAGCGTATTTTTAGTACTATATCACCATTAACTATGAAGTAACAATACATATTGTATATAATGCATCAATAATTGAATGGTTTTAACACTTAATAGCGAGACATCAAAATTGTACTTATCAATTATCTAAAAGTCAAATATGCTTAACTAAGAATTACAAAGATCAAAATTAAAATTTATGGATATTTGAGGGGCTAAAAGTGCTAATACCCCAAAGGACTTTGTGAGTGTAGTTTACCTTTTTGGGTTATATTTTGAAGTTAACTTTACATATTTTAGACTAAATATTTTTAAACCCACTATTGTTAATTAGATTAATCAAATTAAAGTGATTAGCAGTCAAGAACAAATACCTTTAAGAAATTCTAGTGATGTTGTTTTCTTTCTCCGGTCAAGATATTGTAGTTGACGAAATGAGGTCACCGGCGTTATTTACCGATTAAATTAGTAAAAGTATGCTATTATTGACTAATCCATATGGTAATTTGATAATTTATTAATGTAATGTGAGTAATTAAGCTCTGAAGTCTGAAGGTTCTATCAACAAAAGTGTGTATTGACTTTGAAAGAGCAAATTAATGTTCTAAACGTTCAATATATTTTGATAAAGCACAATGTTTATTCTGGAAGACAATATCATTTGAGTGATTAAGACAATATTTAGATTATTCTTAACAAGAGGCTCAATATTTAATCCAAGGAATATAAATTTTTCAATCTAGCCAAATAATCTAGTGCTAAACTTCTAATTCACATATTAACGAAATTTTAATTCTATAATATTTGGATTTAGTCCTTATTCGTTGGTCCTTTTTTCGTTTATTTCTTAAAATTTGTGTTTTTATTTTCATTCTCTATTCATATTAATCCATATGATAATTTGATTATTAATTAATGTAATGTGAGTAATTAAGCACTGAGGGTTCTATCAACAAAAGTGTCTATTGACTTTGAAAGAGCAAATTAAAGTTCAATATGTTTTGATAAAGCACAATATTTATTCAGGAAGACAATATTATTTGAGTGATTAAGACAATATTTAGATTATTCTTAACAAGAGGCTCAATATTTAATCCAAACAATATAATTTTTTCAATCTAGCCAAATAATCTATTGCTAAACTTCTAATTCACATAATAACGAAATTAATATAGTATTTGGATTTAGTCTTTATTCGTTGGTCCTTTTTTTTTCGTTTACTTCTTAAAATTCGTGATTTTTTTTTTCATTCTCTATTCATATTAATTTCATTATTGAAAATTATCTCAAAAAATTAAATCCTAAATGGTGTTTTGTACAATTTACTTTCTCCGGACCTTATTAAGGTAAATGTAAGGTCTGCATACAACTTACTCTCCTCAGATATTTTTTGTGAAATTACATGGTTATGTTATTGTGAATTACATTCTTGAAATTACATACCAACAAAGTTCAATCCTATATTTAATTTAAAAAGACAATTAGCTAACTATGATTAACTAATAATAATATATTTAAAGATATCTATAATGTATTAATCGAGTTAATGAGAACATCATCAATTATATTTAGAGGTAGAACACTAATTTGAACTTTATGAATTCTAAATTTAAAACTAAGTATTAGTAATTAAATTTTTAGTATATTTTTTTACATTTTATCAGTTTTTAAATTATAAAATAAAATATAAATTTAAATCGCTATATTTGACCAAACTATTATAGAACCCTTCCAACTTCATTGATCCATTGCTAGTTGCGACCCTGAACCATGTGATCCTAATATTGAATTAAGTTGATAAAATTGACTGGAAGAACTATAAACATTATAATCAACAAATTTTTAATAATTTGAAGGTGATTAGGAATATTGCATTTTTGATCCTTCAATTATTGATGAATTCTTATTTGATCCTTACAATATTTTGTTAAGCATATTTAACATTTAATCAACTATAATATTTATTTATTTTATATGTGATTTTTTTTTGGAGTTATATGCCTTCAAATAAGTTTACGTAATAGTACAAATTTAATATAATACATCGATACTTGAATGATTTAGCACTTAATACATAATTCATTAAATTTGTAAAGATTCAAAGTCTGAGAGATAAAAAATGCACATATCAATGAATTGAAGGTTAAATGTATCTAACTAAAATTTATAAGGATAAAAAATTAAAATGATCAATATTTGAGAAGCTAAAAAGCTAATATCTCAAAGGATTATGTGAGTATAAGTTACATTTAGAATTTACTCTAACTTACATACTGTAGACTATTCTTAATTAATATTAATAATCGGGTTTAAGTATTAACAGTCAAGAATAAACACTCTTAAGGAGTGCTAAGAAATTCCAGCGTTCTTGTTTTCTTATTGTAGATGCCCGGAATAAGGTCACCGGCATATTTTATCAATAAAATATTACAAGTGTAATTTTTATTGACTTGTATGATGATTAACAAACGTAATATACTTGTAAATTAATTGAGTAATTTATCAATAATATATTACAAGTATAATTTTTATTGACTGATATGATATTTTGATGATTAACAAACGTAATATACTTGTTAAATTAATTGAGTAATTTAACCTGTGAAGGTTCTATCAACAAAAGTGTCTATTGACTAGACTTTGAAAGAGCAAAGTACTAAAAAAATCAACATTTTTGGATAAAGAACAATATTTATTGAGGAAGAATATCTAATAATGACTAATTTCTCCAAACACGTTTGTTTTTAAATAACAATATATTTACTTTCACTAAATTGAAAATTTTACGTTATTGGATTATTGATGTTCTTGTTAGGAATAATTATCTACTGCTAATTCACATATTAACGTTCTTAATATTTGAATTTAGTCTTTATTCGTGCTTTTTTATCTCTCGTTTTTCTTTTCTTTAAATTTCATCAATTATAATCCGGTTTGTATTTTCATCTTTTGTTTACATTAATTTCATTCTTGAATATTATATTACCTAAAAAATTCAATCCTAAATAGTTCTGGTTTGCTTTATGGAAATAATTTGACTGAAATAATTTAGGAAAATTAATTTTGTGGCTTCAGAATTACCTAAAGATACTTTTTTTTGTTCCTGTATAGGAATAGAAAAATGGAAGTTGTAATCCTAAATAGTTTTATTTACTTTAGGAAAATAATTTGAACAAAGAATTTAGGAAAATTACTTCTATGGCTTAAAAATTACCTTTTGATACTTTCTTTTCAATTCTTGTGTCATGTATTAGGCTTTTGAGTTGTAACTTTATCAGTTTTTTTTTTTTTGTCGAAGTAATACTTCTAAGATCTGTTGGAGTAAATACTTCTAACTTGCTTCAAGTTAGAGTTAACTTGAAGAGGACTTGTTTACTATCGTTGTACAACAAGGTTTAAAGCCAAATTTTTAGGATTATTTTTGTAATCGAGTTTGGCTCAGTGTTTTAATAGAGGAGTTGAGTTTTAATTCCATAGGAATCTAAGTGAATTGTGATTTTTTTTTACCTTTGAGCCAATATAATTTTCGAGGTTAAAACAAAAAAAATATAGAAGAAATAAAGATCAATGGCTTTAATTTATTTATATTATTAATAATTGTGAGATGGTAGGAAGTACCAACATGGATTGTGGTGCACTGGTGGGAGTGCGTCACCCTTAGCCAGAGGTCTTGGGTTCGAGCCCTGGGTATGGATAAAATCTTGTTGGGAGCGCCACCCCTGAATGGGCCCTACAGAGCGTGATCTGGATTTAGTCAAAGCTCCAATGTGGGCTCCGGACATCGGGTGGGAAAAAAAAAGATGGTAGAAAGTCAGCCAGTTATTACTAAAAATAAACAAATATTTAATGCTAAAAATGGTAATTGTGGTTAGTGATAATAAACAAATATTTAATGCTAAAAATGGTAATTGTGGTTAGTGATTGAGGGTGGGTCATGAACATTTGAGGCCTAAACTCAAACTTTATTAAGAAGCTTTAAACTTAAAAAATCATATTTACTAACATGTTCCATTCTTCATAAATCATAATTGACATTATTGAATTCTGAGAAATAATTAAAAAATAATATGCTACTATGATGAACAATTTCAAATTTATAGAAAAATATGTAATAAAATACATCCCAATAGTGATACATGACAAAAAGGACAATAACATGTGCAATGCGTGTTCAATATATTATATATTTATATATGATAACCCTAGCGCCAAAAAAAAAAAACTAACCTATAGTCTAATATAATGGAGTACTAGAAAAGGAAATTAAGTGATGCACTATGAAATCAAAACATGATTGATTTTGCATTTTGGAAGAATAATTAAAATTTAGAATAGGAAACCACATTTACATAGGATTTGGAATTTACTTAACTCGTGGCTAATTAAGATTTGTAATAAAATTAATATAGGAATATGATTTCTAATCCTAATTAAATTAGGCTTTACAATTTTATAAATAGAAATCGTGCTATAGCTATTTTCATATAACGAGTAGAGAACATTCAAATCATCGAAATCCATAAAACTTTTCGGATTCAAACAAAATGAAAACAGAGTACTCTGTTTCTCAATTTCATCCTTTAGCTGCAAAAAGAGCCTCGATAAGTTTATCATCATTCGGATCAGGAGGTCCGTTTAGTTTTGATTCACTCTCTCGGAAATGGAATTCGAAGAAGAAGAAAGAGCCTTTTCCTGATGAAAAGTCATCGAATAAGCACGAGGCAATGGGGAACGAGTGGTTAGAAACAGGGCTGAAACTCAAATGCCCACCTGCAGTTGTTGCAGTCAGGGCTGCACTAGCTAGGACTGTTTTTGTGAAGACTATGCGGCCGCAACCATTAGTTTCAAAGATGTTAGTAATTGGAGCATTGGGAATGGCAGTTAATATTCCATTAGGGATATGGAGAGAACACACTGACAAGTTCTCATTATCATGGTTTACTGCAGTTCATGCTGCTGTTCCTTTCATAGCTATGTTGAGGAAATCAGTTGTGATGCCTAAATTAGCTATGGCATTAACCATTGCTGCTTCTGTATTGGGACAGATCATTGGCTCAAGAGCAGAGCGACTTCGACTACAACATATTCAGTCTAGTCCAACAATCGAAAGAATAACTAACATCAAGTATCAATAATTGAGTTCTAATCTAACTTCTTTATGTATGTAAGTAATTTTTTTAATTATAAATATAAATTTTGGAAGTTGGACCGAACTCGTACTCGACCTTCTAGTTCAACCAATGCGTAGCAGTAGTGACACATTACAAAAAGAAATAACATGTGCAGTGCTTGTTCAATGAATCCAAGTTTCTCACGTAACTGCACAATGAATCTAAGTTTCTCATGTAATGTCTCATAATTTGACATATAACTCTATTTTAGGTATTTGAATTCCTGTAACCATATCTGTATCTGCATTTGTATACCTAAATCTCAAAATTTAGATTCTGAAGGGTTCATCCATCGGAAACTTGGTTAAACAATAATTAAAATCACATCACCTGTCTACTCTTATTCCGTAAGCATACATGAATTTGGCCACAAATAGTTTTAACCTTATCCACCAAATACAAACGACTTCAATGTTTTGGAAATCCAAATCCTCCTTAGTTTAGTCTTATCTGAATTTCTTCATCTTACCTGTCTTGTTCTTATATCTTTACACATTAATTTACTGTATTTATAAACCAGATAGCATATGAATTTCAGCTAAGTTACACTTAGAAACATACAATGAAACCACAACCAATTTGAAAATCGCGGATTCCTAATTTGAATTTTATTGGTTCTGAATTCTCCAACATCAGTAATTTAATCATATACATGTAAGCTGCCGAGTATTAGTAAACACCAAGAGCTGCCTGTAGCTACATACAATAAATCTACAAGCTCAGTTTTTTTTTTTGCTGCTCATATATTCTAAGACTAGCATCTCATTTCTCCAATCAATTGGATCACATCCCTTAATGGTAAACCTAATTTAGTACTTACACTTACATCACACTGCTTTATGAAAATTCTTCAAGACTTCCAGGAGTTCGAGTTTCTTCCCTATCCACAACAGAAATTTCCACTGATTCAGTGCCCTTCTACTCTGCGGTACTTTATGACCTGGAGATAAAAATTACAACTCGTTTAACAAAAAACGTCAAATATTTAGGTTTGAATGCAGTACTACTGGGTACAAGTGTAACAAACAGAAAGACCTTTTGGATGAAGAGATGTTTGGCCCTGTCGAGGAGTTTCTTTTTACTTTCTTCATTTAAGACCTGCTCCAGTTCATCAAACAAAAACATATAAAGTGTCAATAGTGTGCATGAAATACACTTAGTGCCTGTTTAAGAGAGAGATTTTCCTGATACCATGCTTGAAACTAAGAAATGAGAGTACAACCACGTTATCCCCCTCACACGGGAAAAGAAAAACGTTTGCCAAAAGAGTGTATGTTCTTAGATACTTCCTCTTGGTATACCAATTCTTTCAGGTGGTGTAACTAGCTTGAAATTTCAAACTTCGACAACATTAAGAATTTGCAAAGTGAATTATCTATTAAGATACCTTCTGGGAATACCGATTTCTTTTAGGTGGGGAGATTTGCTCCGATATGTCACATTTTGACAACATTAAGAGAAGGAAGGCTGGTAATTAGCCTCGACTCTCCAGGTAGAGACATGCATAGATAGTTTGTTTTGGGTTAACTTATATATATATCCAAACAAAGATTTACATAAATGGAAATTTTCTCTCTGAGCTACAAGTAGGACTAAATATATTGACATGTCTAAGGTGATGTGCTGGACAAATCCTAAAAAATAATTTGGTATGCACAAGTGAAGCACAACAATTGAAGCTGGATATCCCAAATGTTATAACAAAATTAGAATCAAAACTTACGTAGCAGATGAAACAGCATGGCCTTGAAAGTCTAATCCATGGTCCTGTACAGATTGCACCGAAAAGAATAACATCAAAACAAATATAAATGCAACAAGAATATGAAATCTGTAAGAGACAACAGTATATATCAGATGGGTAAAGAACCTTTTGAGTTGAATTATCTTCAAGCATCTCCCATCGTTCTTTATGTAGTCTCAATTTCTCTGCTTCACCATCATCATATACGACCTAAGAAGAGAAACACCAGAAGTCCAGAACGACTTGGGTCATTTAGAATTTTCAGGAGGAACTTTGGCAAAACATTAAAGCCAGTAAAACATGTGCAAGTTAGGTAAGATTTCTACTTCACGATCAATTTATATTTCCCTTCCTTGGTGGCAGATCATGAATTTGAATAGTTAAATAGACTCGGCTATTCCCTAGTTTATGTGACCCCATTTGACACAACATGGAGATATAATTAATATTAATTAACATATATGTCACCTGAAATTATTTAGATAAGGAAACATATGATACTAGGGTTCAAAGAGATCTATAAATATGAATGAGAAGTGTTTAAACATAAACAGTAACTCAAAGAAAATTATGAATTTAGCGAGGCAATGACAAGGCTTCATAATAATCTCATCACCTTGTGTTTCCTTTCCACAGGATCAAAAGAAGAAACTACTCCCTCGTAAAACCTACAAAGAGAACATTAAGATGAGACAATGTAGCAGATTCTTCCTTCTGACACACCACGAGTCACTATATAGGGTTTCTAAACTACAGTCCAAACTGAGTATATCCACAGTAACTCATCAATTTTTACATTGTTATCTGTTTCACTGTGTTATGTTTGCAGAGGAATTGTGAGCCAACAAGTACTTGCAAAAAGAAGGGAAAAGGGACAAATATACCCCCGAACTTTCGAAAATGGTATGTCAATACCCTCCGTCATACTTTTCGTTCATGAGTGCCCTCGCCGTCCAATAACTAGTGCACATTTGCCCCTTTCACTAACAGAAGACTCATTTTGTACACGTGGCGCATTCCTACGCCTCAACCCGAATTGACCAAATATTTAACTCAAATTTCAATTACCCGTTTAACCCGCCCCATTACCCATTTAACAAAATATCTACAAACCTAAAGAAAAAGCCCCATTTACTTTATCTCTTCTTCTTCCTCGTAAGGTTGCCGCTGTCGTTGCCATCCCCCTCCCCCCGTCCTTCTTCTTCTTCTTTCATCTTTCCATGTACTTTTTCAATCATCTACTTGAAGATTTAAACAAAAGAGAAAACAATGGATTTAACTTTTCTACGCAATATTTTCTTATTATAAAAAAATATTTGACAAATCGAACTTTGGAGGCAAGCATATTGGGAAGAATATTGTGTTTGATATGGACATGAGTGTTGAAGATTTTTTAGCCCTCTTTTACCTCCTTAAGTTGTCAATAAAAGAAATCAATTCGGAAATAAATGGCCTTCTATTTGAATTAGATCATCCTCTGAAAATTCAAACTAGATCTGAATCTAGAAGGTTCCGAAACGAATTACATTTTCAAGTTCCAATTAAGAGGGAAAAAAGTTTTTTATTTTAGAAACTTCTGTTGTAAAATACAATTTTCATTCAAATATGAACATTGTTCAACCCTACAATCCCAAAAACACTGATACAGATTCAGAATTCAACACATTGAGGGTTCTTAAACATGAACATCAAACTTCAACCTGAAAAATTCCAATCAAATTATGCAATAAGCCTCGAAATTATCTTTAATTTCTGCAAAGAAAAAAACGAAAGCCATGAAAGGAAATTGAGATTCTGAGCTAATACAACTTATGTTTCTTACCTAAATGGAAACAAAGTTCTGGAAACAAAGTTTCTGGAATCTTCTTCTTCTTAAGCTAAAATCAAAAAGCAAATTCAAATCTTCAATTCCACAATCCCAAAAACTCTATTCAGATTCAGATTTCAACACATGTTTGAGATTTCTACGTAGGGTTCTCCAACATGAACATCAAATTCCAATGTGGGTAATGGGTGTATCGGTGAGTTAAATGGGTAATGGGGTGGGTTAAATGGGTAATTGAAATTTGAGTTAAATATTTGGTCAATTCGGGTTGAGGCGTAGGATTGCGCCACGTGTACAAAATGAGTCTTCCGTTAGTGAGAGGGGCAAATGTGCACTAGTTATTGGACGGCGAGGGCACTCATAAACGAAAAGTATGACGGAGGGTATTGACATACCATTTTCGAAAGTTCGAGGGTATATTTGTCCCTTTTCCCCAAAAAGAATAACTCAAAATGAATCAAATATATAGAATAGTAATATCGCCAGCAACATTAGCCTGTTTCGAACTTTCATACAAGAAGCAACCAACAGGAGAAATCTACCAAAGGTAAATACTATGATCGGTCAAATTGTAGTGGAGGTTGGTTGTTTGATACGTGGCTGATCCTTTTGTATGGAGAATGAGGCAGAGAGGAGAAAAAGGAAAAGAGAAAAGGACCAAGTTATTGATACATTAGATGAATGGTTTAGGGTAGATCGAAAAATGACAGATATTTTTTCACATACTTGTGATAAATTCCCCAGAAAAAACAACAAACTGATCTGAACAGAAAGGATACTTTAACTATCCTGTAAGCTACATGCAGAACCAATTGTAATCCATAATGTTTTTGTTAGCCTAGCCAAAAAGATGTAGCACAAGAAAATATCAGCTTTTTAGACAAACAAACTGGATTGGAAACTCAGGAACCCATTAACAACATAATATGCAGGGAACTCTGCTTAAAGCATCAAGGATCATGAACTAACATATACTTCATTTATCCTGTTTAATGTGACACACTTCCCTTTTTAGCCTGTCCAAAATGAAATGACACCTTTTATAATTAGAATTTAGAAATAATTTAAATTTGAACTTCCCATTTTACCCTCTATGACATGATTTTATAGCCACAGAAAAATCTATGGCATGTTAAGACGACAAGTATCAAAAACGTTCTTTCTTTCTTACTTAAACTTCGAGCCCAATAGAAAACTGAGACATATACTGGGATAGAGGGAGTAACTCAAGAAATATTGAATGAACCAAGGAACAATGCAAGCTACAAATAAACACATGCTAGAATTTTTGCAATACCATTAAATTCAAAGACATAGGAGTATAAGTAACTGGAGGAACAAGGTTCTTGCACATAGCCTAGCAGGCAAGCCCAATATTTTAGAGCATAAACTCGAAAACTGAAGGCTACATCAAGTGCTGAAAAGTGTGTGTGTGTGCAGGATGGTTGGGTGGGTGAGTGTGATTAGTACAACAAATTTACAATGATTTGCAGTGCTCACATCAATAATCCAAAGTACTTACTTTTCATCCAATGGCTAGCAAACTTTTATTCTAGCGCCAACCAGTTCCTTACCATAATCTTTGATGGTACAAGTCCTTTTAGAATCCTAAAACAAAAAATTAGAACGATGAGTGCATCAGATATGAAAACACTTAGAACCACTTTCTAATACTAAATCTGTCAGAAACAATAGTATATCAGATGGGTAGAGAACCTTTTGAGATGAATTGTCTTCAAGCATCTTCCATCGTTCTTTATGTAGTCTCAAAATCTCTACTTCACCATCATCATATACGACCTAAAAACGGAAACACCAGACAATACCGGTCATTTAAACTTTCAGGAGGATTTTTTGCGAAATGTTAAAGCCAATAAAATATGGTTCAAGTTAGACAATGCTACTTCACGATCAGCATATTTAAGAACAGGGTCTACAACAAAGAGGTCCCCAAACAGTAAGGTTGTACCTGTATGTAAAAAGGGATTTACATGGCAGATCTTGATTTTGAAGAGTTAAATAGATTCGGCTATTCCGACCCCATTTGACTTAACATGGAGTTAGATTTTACTTGCAGGTATACTAACAGTGGTAGGAGAACTTTTTTGGAAACATATGTTACATGGGTTTAAACTGATCAAGGATGTTGAATTCTTGTTGTTGTGGGTTTAATGTACATGCATTAAACATTAAAATATATCCCGAAATGAGAAGTGTATAAAATAAAATGGAACATATAAGTAACTTAAAAAAACATTCTAAATTATAGAAACAATGACAAGAATTTATAAAAATAAATAATATTGTCACCTCATACTTGTTTGTTTCTGAATCAAAAGAAGAAATGACTCCCTCGTAAAACCTATAAAGAGAAACTTTAAAATGAGAAATTGTAGCTAGATTCTTCCTTCTTATACAAGAAAAAGTAAAATAAATATTGGTAGATACAGTGATATGACGAACAAAGAGATATTCAAAGTTGTGCGAACAATAATGGCATGAAACTAGGGGAAAGAGTGACACACTTCCCTTTTTAGACTGTCCAAAAAGAAATTACACCTTTTATAATTAGAACCTAGATATAATTTAAATTTGAACTTCCCATTTTACCCTCTATGACATGATTTTATAGCCACAGAAATATCCATGGCATGTTTTAGACGACTAGTATCAAAAGTCATTCTTTCTTTCTTAAACTTCGTGCCCAATAGAAAACTGAGACATATATTTGGACAGAGGGTACTACTATATTGAATGAACCAAGGAATAATGCAAGTTACAAATAAACACATGCTAGTATTCTTGCAATACAATCAAATCCAAAGACATAGGAGTATAAGTAACTGGGAGGAACGAGGTTCTTGCACATAGAGCCTAGCAGCAAAGCTAATATTTTAGAGCATAAACTCGATAACTGAAGGCTACATCAAGTTGCTGAAAAGTGTGTGTGCGCAGGATGGTTGGGTGGACGAGTGTGATTAATACAACAAATTTACAATGATTCGCAGTGCTCATATCAATATTCCAAAGTACTTACTTTTCATCCAATGGCCACCAAACTTTTATTCTATCGCCAACCAGTTCCTTACCATAATCTTTGATGGAACAAGGCCTTTTGGAATCCTGAAACAAAAAATTAGAACGACGAGGGCTTCAGACATGAAAACACTTAGAATCACTTTCTAATATGAAATCTGTCAGAAACAACAGTATATCAGATGGGTAGAGAACCTTTTGAGATGAATTGTCTTCAAGCATTTCCCATCGTTCTTTATGTAGTCTCAATTTCTCTACTTCACCATCATCATATACGACCTAAAAACGGAAACACCAAACAACACCGGTCATTTGAACTTTCAGGAGGATTTTCTGCGAAATCTTAAAGCCAATAAAATATGGTTCAAGTTAGACAATGCTACTTTGCGATCAGCATATTTAAGAACAGGGTCTACAACAAAGAGGTCCCCAAACAGTAAGGTTGTACCTGTATGTAAAAAGGGATTTACATGGCAGATCTTGATTTTGAAGAGTTAAATAGATTCGGCTATTCCGACCCCATTTGACTTAACATGGAGTTAGTTGTACTTGCAGGTATATTAGCAGTGGTACGAGAATTTTTTTGAAAACAAATGATACAAGGGTTTACATGGTCAAGGATGTTGAATTGTTTTATAAAATAAGAATGACAAGAGTTCATAAAAATAAATATTCTCGTCACCTTGTGTTTGTTTGTCTCAGAATCAAAAGAAGAAATGACTCCCTCGTAAAACCTGTAAAGAGAAAATTTAAGATGAGATATTAGTAGCTGGATTCTTCCTTCTTATTCAAGATAAAGTAAAATCAGAATTGGTAGATACAATGACATGAAGAACAAAGAGATATTCAAAGTTGTGGAACAATAATGGTATTAAACTAATGAGTATACGATGAAACTCAGGGAAAGAGTGATAGAACATCGAGTAACAGAAACCAGTTTGGATTTATGCCTGATAGATCTACAACAGAGGCTACATTCCTGCCAACTCATTGATGTGCCGTGAAATTACGGCACATTCTATGTCATTTACATAGACTTTTCATGTTCTTAATGCTTTTTTAGTATAGAATTCTTATGTTATTTTACATTTTTTAGATATTTTGAGGTGGGACACCAAAAGAGGGTAAAAGTGAACAAACACATCAAAAAATTGAACCCTTCTGTGGACCGCCTCAAAACCAGACTGCGCACTGCATAATGGGTCTGTCAGCCACAAAAAGAGACAGAATATAAAGGACTTTGAAGACCAAAATGCGATGATCTTTTGTGGTCCCATTGCTGTTCTGCGGACCGCATTCCTGTCTGCGATCAAGAATAACATGTCATGAAGCCCATTTGCAAACCACATTTCTAGTTCTGCAGAGCAACATCAAGACCACACTTTAGGAAGAACTTAAGTGTAGCCCAATATTGAAATATAATTAGTATCTCCTAGGTGGTTTTCAAGAACTAGCTAAGATAAACCCGCTAAATAGTCAAGCGACATTAGTGGGCAATTGAGATTCCAAGGCTAACTATGTGTTCCATGTTTATTATTAGTTAATTATTTGTAATGTATCGTTCTTGATGATAATCAATTCCATAATTTCCATATCTCTTGTTTTCCTTTCTTGCGCGTTCATTGATCATTTTACCTGCTTTCTAGATAGATTTTATCTGTATTATTTTTAAACAAAATCAAATATTTCAAAATCAATTGGTTAGCTTAATTGGTGACAATTCCATAACTAACTTGGTTACCCTAGTATATTGTTCCATGTGGGATTTGACCCCGACTCTTAGTTGGGTAAATTTTATTGCAACGACCATGTACACTTCTCTTTGAGAAGTGGATTTGGACGTCATCACTCTTCTAACAAGATTGATGGAAGTTTATTATGAGAAGAGACATACCTATCGGCTATCGTGTTCAACGACCCAAATAAAGCATAAGAAGTACCATGGAAGGTCCTTTGGTGGGTGATGGAGGAGAAAGAAATTCATAATAAATATGTAAAATTCATAAAGGACATGTATGAAGGAGTTGTCACTGGCTTGAGAACTAGTAAGATATACAAAGGAGTTGATTTTCCTATAACCGTGGGTTTACACCGAGGATCGTCATTGAGGTACTACTTGTTTACTCTAGTTATTAATGAACTAACCAACATAATACTATGTGAGGTCCTACACCATTTGCTGATGAAATTGTGTTAATCGACGAAACCAGTAAGGGTATCAACTGAAAACTTGAACTGTTTAGAAGCACTTTAGAGAGCAAGGGTTTTCGGATACGATGAGTAAAAGTAAGATTAAATATATGCTCTTAACTCCAAAGTTTAGTCAACATGAGAAGAACTAAATTGAGGTGAAACTAGACTGGATTGATGTGCCTAAATGCAAACAATTTAGATATCTAGACTCTCGTTGTTCCAGAAGGATGAAGTGATAGATGAAGATGTTCCTTAATAGAATTAAAACTGGATGATTTAAATGGAGAAATATTATGTGATAGATTGTAAGCTTTACATAATAATTATAAGACCGACAATGAATGTTGGGCCTCTAAAGTGCAACATATCCACAAGACAAGTGTCGCAGAGATGCGATACTAAGATGGATGTCCGATGATGCATAATTATATAAGACTAAAAATGACCACATTTGCTAGAAGGTGCAAGTAGCATACATTAATGATTAAATGAGAGAAGGTCGCTTGAGATGGTTTTGTCATGTCCTACATGACTTCCAGATTACATAGGGGTGAAACCATAATGAGAGTAGGTCGCTTGAGATAGTGCGACTCTGCCTACAACTGCCATCACGTGGAGGCATGGTCTCCAAGTTTGAGCTCTGCTTACAGAATCTCAAGAAATACCGAATGAGCCAAGGTAGAAGACAAAGTTAAGGATAAAACCCATGCTAGTACTAGATCTATACCATCAATTCAAAAACTTATAGGAGTATAATGCCATCGAAGGAGATTCTTGCATATAAAGCCTAGCAGGCAAGGCAATGTTTTAAAGAACAAACTCAATAACTGAAATTTACATCAAGTTTCAAAAAGGAGTGCGCGTGCAGGATCGACGGGTGTGACAAGTACAATAAATTTACAATGGTGTTGCAGTCCTCACATCAATATTTTAAAGAACTTACGCTTGCTCCAATGGCCACCAAACTTTTATTTTAGCGCCGATCAGTTCTGCACCATAATCTTTGCTGGTACGAGCGCTTTCAGAATCCTGAATGGAAAAATTAGAGCCATGGTGCTTCAGAATTTGAAAGCATTCAGAACCACTTTTTTATTAAAAATCCTTTTAATCCCCTTCTCGTGACTCAGCCCCTCAACCTACTGGTTGAAGGTGGAGGAGGCTAATCACTAAGCTATTCTTCTCTAGTCTGGAGAACCACTTTTAAAACAAAGCGGAGCTACCGTCATTTCTATGATATGTAATGAATTATGGAAAGATTGGTATCTGCTCAACTTCAAAAGAGGGAAAATATTTTTTTACAAAAGTTGTCACATTAAAGAGCCAGAAAATAGTTTCCGGTGAAGGGAAGTTCTTAAAAATCAGTAAAGTTGCAAAATGTAAGATACCAAATCAGTTTATGAAGAATTTCAACAGCTTACATCCATTCATACAAAGCTCTGATAATTGCATATATGGAGGTTACACAGATAGGAGATAAATCTACATATAGTTTATAGATCAGTACCTCATGTTTCCTTGTAGCCAACTTCCTCCCGGATTTATAATTAGCATATTTGTTTATGTGATTTTCATCTTTGACTGATAATTTAGTAGCCTGTGCAGCTCACAAGTAAAAAAGAGAATTGCAAAAGGAAAGTAATAATTTGTTCATTGCATAAATAAATTAGCAAAGATCTTGAAATAACTATTACTGGGTTGTACAGTTGTCAACCTTATCTCCAGATTCTTCAATATTAGTTGTTTTCTTCTTCTTCTTCCTCAGTTTCATTCCAAAAATTTGTTGCAGTGTTGGCTCCTTGTGTTCTTCAAGGTTTCCTTCTTCATTTTTTATGCTAGATTCAGATGTTCTCTCTGCGTCACAATCTGAAGCAGACTCATTCTTCCTTGAGTCGCTTCCTTGTTTTCTTTTGGCACATAGTGTGCGCTTGGTTCTCTCTCCCAAAGTGAGACCTAAATGAAGAGAATCTTTTTTCTGAACTTGGGATTGCGGCACATCTCCTATTGGAATTAACACAACCAGCTCATCATCGTCATTTATCGGGATCTCTTTTCTCTTGGGCTGACACAAATGACCATGACTACCTGTAAGTTCATGACTTCCAGTCCCTTCCTGGTTTTCTTTTGGCACATTTGTTGCTGGTTGCACATCTTCTGGATTGTCAGGTTTCATGATGTTTGTTGTACAAGTATCCTTTAGCTTCTCCCTGTGAGTATCATCCTGCAGCACTGGTTCACACAATTTAGCCTCAGATGGACCAACTTTTACAGGATGACCTGTAAGATTATGACTTCCAGTCCCTTCCTGGTTTTCTTTTGGCACATTTTTTGCTGGGTGCACATCTTCTGGATCGACAGGTTTCATGATGTTAGTTAAACAAGTATCCTTTAGCTTCTCCCTGTGAGTGTCATCCTGCCGCGCTGGCTCACAACATTTAGCCTCAGATGGACCAACTTTTATGCGATGTACAGTATCAGGTGCATTTTCAGTTGCCATCTGATAAAAAAAAATAAGAGACGAGGAAATGAAAAAAATCTGTTAATACTATTATCTATTCACAACTGAAACTGTTGTAGCATCCTAGTAATAATTAAAGACAATAGAAGCACTTAGTCTCCTTGGCATCCCCTGCTCTTTGGGCTGAATATTGCATTAGAGCCAATACCAAAATCTTGTTACTAAATGCAACACTAGAGTATATTCTAATGTAAATTGAGTGGAGTTATTCTAATGTTGGCTCTAACTCCTTTGAGTGATGTATGTTTACAATAAGGAAAAGTTCTTTAAAAACTGTATGTTTCTGCAAAGGGAAAAAATCTTTAAAAACTGTATGTTTCTGTAAAGATATGGCATTTGGGTCTAACTAAACCCCAAAAGCTAGCTTATGAAAGGCAGGATAGCCAAGTTCATATAAGCACACCACTCCATTCACGCCCAACTGAAGCTTGGACCAGGAGCCCAAAGAGGGATGTGGTTGGCATTTATACGGAGCAAAACTGCAGTAATGAGACAGATGTGCTAATTTTATCAACAATATGAAGTTACTGAGTATCTAGTCTACCATCGCTCACAAGAAAGAAGGAAAAGACGACATTTTTAATCATGATGTTTATGCCCACTTATATGTGTAAATGAATGCTTGGATGTATAGACAATGAAAGTGAAGTATCAACATTAAACAAAACATCATATCAATAAACATTTCTTTAAAAAAGCAAGTAGCCATTGTTTTAGGTGTAGACAAGATAGTAATGAATACAACATACCATTTCTTTTCCTTTTGGCATTTCATTGCATAATAAGGCAACCGTTTCAGCATAATCACCAGAATTTAAGCTCATTGACTTTAGGGCTTCTGCAAAGTAAGGTTTAACAATGGCAGCACAGTCTTTTAGGACTTCCTCCACCAAGTGTGATGCAACGGGTGAATCCATCTGGATAAAATAAACTACTGGATTAGAAAAGTGCCAAAGAAATATTCTTAACAAAGAGGTTCATAGGAGATTGATTATTACCTGATTATCAATTTTGAGACAATCAAGAAGAAGCCGCAGAAGCTCTACTGAGATTTCATCACTGCCTTTTATGAGCCTAGTCATGATTTCTTTCATCCAAGTGAATATATTATGAGGATGGTAGGGCCTTCATAGAAAATATAACATAAATATTACTATAGCCAGCATCTCAGAGAAATATTATCTCTAGAATAACCTTATGCTCATACACTGGCACAAAATGGCATGGTTTACAATGTCAACAGTCTCCTACATGCTTAGGTGTGACTCAAATGGAGTATATGCAAGCAACTGAATAGCACGTACGTTTGAGCAGTGTTTCAATGCATAAGCGTATTTCAGATTACCACCTTTGGGAGCTAGTCAGTGCCCAGTGGCAGAGCTTTGTCCAAAGGGTGTTGATAAAATTACTTTAATGGATAAGCAGTTAAAAATACAAAACACACTGCAACATCCTTATGAAATTTATATTTCACCCAAATTTAATCCGAAGGTAATTGACTTTGTTGTTGGAAAGAAACAAACCGGAACTCTACATAACATTGAAGAATCAGAGAATAATGATAATATCCATGGAAAAGAGAATTTTGACAGAATACCTGATGACCTCGAGAAAGACTTTGAATATCTCGATGATTAGCTTTTCGTTTTCAAGGTCCAATACCACTGCACTTAACCTTACTTTTGCGAATATTTCCAGAACTCGGACCACCTTCCGGTAGCTGCGGCTAGTAACATCAGCTAACTTTTTTAACGCCATTACAGTTTGCCGGAGAATTTCCTGACAAAGAAATTCGCCAGGGTGAAAAAATATTGAAGTAAAAACAGAAAGATAAATTAGAATGGTATAGTTCTACCTCCATTTGTCTATGATCATTGTAAGGGTAATTTGGGGCATATATTCGAGAAATTTCAGTGATACAAGAAATCATTGAAACTTTGACATCTTCACTCGTATGCCCCAATAGCTCATTCCTAACCAGTGCTTTCATTAAAGGTTGAATTGCACTTGTGGTCGAATCAAATGGGTCCTGACTTACCATTTTCAGTAAAGACTCAACTTTCTGACAAAGAAAAGGGGAAAACAGTAAGCCATAAATTGCATGAATTTAACAAGAAAAAAAAAAGATTATCACTTCCATTTTCCAGTCCAAAATCTTTATAGTAGAACAACAATTCCTACTTCCATCTTATTTTTTTTGGGATTTCATTTCATTCAAATAAAAAAATTGATTTTTACCTGAAGAAGTTTGAAGAGCTCATCAATGGAAGAGGGAGGATTCATGAGGCTCATCCCATAAGCTGTGAACTCGTCTTCCATCTTTTTCCAGTCAGCACAGGAGGAGCCAGAACTAGCCATTGCCAGAAGAACTCTGTTTCAAAAACAAGAACTGTAGCAAAAATTAACACTTCAACAAAGAAATGCAGAGTAACAAAATAACACTTCTATCAAGAACTGTAGCAAAAGTAACATTTAAACAAAAGATTGTTACAAACTCACGTTTTTTCAATTTGCTTACTTGTATGCAATGGGAACGTTAGTACCTATGCAAAAGTGCAAACAGAGCAAATTGCCAAATGGGGAGTTTCCTCTTTCAACTTTAATGTTGAAGTGATGAGAGGAATTGACAGTTTTATCCTTTAAATGCTATTTGGAATTTGAGTACTTTGGGTAATATCTGAGGTATAACTTTTTTAAAAATATTCACGTGACTTACACTTGTCCTACGTGACAATTATGTGATATACTTTTGTCCTTATAACAATTTATGTGAGATATTCTTGTCCTAACAAGACAATTCACGTGAGATATTTTTGTTCTAACATGACAATTCACATGAAATACTCTTGTCCTAACATGATAATTCACGTGAAATATACTCGTCCTACATGACAATTCATGTGAGATACTATTGTCCTAACATGATAATTCACGTGAGATATACTCTTTCTACACAACAATTCATGTGAGGTACTCTTGTCCTGACATGACAATTCATGTGAGATACAGTAATCCTACATCACAATTCACGTGAGATACACTCATCCTACATGACAATTCACATGAGATACATTTGTCCTTAATGACAATTCACATGAAATACACTCATCTTAAATGGTAATTCATATTAAATACACTCATCCTATATGACAATTCACGTGAGATACACTCGTTTTACAACAATTAATTTATATTATTTATGACTTGTGTATTTACTTGTTTAACTTTATACTAATTTAAATATATTTATGCATATTCAAAGTTAAAAGACATAAATATCAATTTGCAAGTTATAGAGGATGCTTATATCATTTTATATCACGAAACAAAATCAAACAAAATGAAGTGCAACGAAGGGTTGTACCTTAATTTTCGGTAACACACATCAAGAAATTTTATACAAACGAGGTAGGGGCCAGGTCACTTCCGACGTGGAAAAGCACCAGGTTGTTGAGAACCCGCCAACTCATCAAAATGCCACGTCACCCTGGGAACCTACTAGCTTCTCGGACCAACGGGTCAGGCCTGTCGGATCATCAAATTGGGAAAGGAATATCCCGGTTAGGTCGGAATTCGAACTCGTAATCGGAATACTATCGGAGCTCCACCAGGCAACAGCGGCTTGATCAACCAACCGCAACAACAGCAGAAATCAAGTCCGAGGAGAGTAGTGCACAGAAAATCCCTTAGCCGATTCTCCGAGTCGGAGCTGAATTTTCCGTTTTGGGAAAGGAATGGTTCCCGTGCTATGCTGTTGATGTCACTCTCCCTTTACGGCCTTCTTTTTTTTTTTTCCTCAATCTCATCTCTGATTTCACATCCTCTTATATCTCCGCTGCCTCAGAAGTTGTGCAGGTAATTGGTTTGTCTCGCTGCCTCAGAAGCTGTGCAGGTAACTGGAATGTAGCAGTTTCTATTCATAATGAAAATCTGTATTCGGATATGAACTCTTTCAGTTTTGGAAAATATACCGCTTAATATTATATATGTTCAGAAATTCCATGGAATCGTGCATCTCAGAAGTTGTGCATCTTTTGTCTGCGCTGCCTCAGAAGTTGTGCAGATGATTTGTTTGTTTCCGCTGCTTGGAAGTTGTGCATCTTTTGTCTCCGCTGCCTCAGAAGTTGTGCAGGTAATTGGTTTGTCTCGCTGCCTCAGAAGCTGTGCAGGTAACTGGAATGTAGCAGTTTCTATTCATAATGAAAATCTGTATTCGGATATGAACTCTTTCAGTTTTGGAAAATATACCGCTTAATATTATATATGTTCAGAAATTCCATGGAATCGTGCATCTCATTTACTCTGTAGGTAGACATGGTTGCTTATACTAATAAATAAGCTCATATTCATATTCATAAAAAAATAAGCTGATTTTCGTTTTTACAAGTTGGTCTTATGCTTGCTTGGATCCGAACTTTCAAGAGAACTCATTGCTAACTCAACTTTATCTTTTCTATTTTAAGCTAGAAAACACAATTTTGCAATTTGAGCTTCGATCAACTTCAGTTGATTAATGTATTTGTAGGTTTCATATGGGTCAGTATTAAGTTGATGCATGAGAGGAACAAAATTTCGATTGAATTCCCATATGATGTGCTCTATGATTCCGATAGTGGGCAAAAGAAAAGATAATGGTCGACTAACAAATAAGAGTAGTAGAATATCATATTTGATGAAAGGAAAAAGGAAACAATAATTGGAATCCATAATTGTGGATACTGAAACCAGTATGGGGTCTATATATGTTGTCTTAACACAATGAAAAAAGACGGAACTAATTGATTAAACTTCCAAAAGTCTTCCATGGAAAAGATGGGTTATCCCACTTTCAGAAAGATGTAACTTTCTAATGACAACATGGAAACAGAGTACTCTGCCCCTCAATTTCATCCTTTAGTTGCAAAAACAGCCTCGATAAGTTTATCATTATTCAGATTAGGAGCTCCTTTTAGTTTTTATTCTCTCTCGGGAATGAAATTCGAAGAAGAAGAGAAAACCTTTTTCTGAAGACAAATCATCTTATAAGCACGAGGCAATGGAAAATGAGTGGTTGGAAACTTAGCTATGAATACCCTTACATATCATGATTAGAACCAAAACATGATTGAATTTGCTACTTCTTTCATCCATTGGAAACTTGGTTACAATTATTAAATCTACGCTTATTCCGTAACATGGATGAATTAGGCCACAAATTATTTTATACTTATCCAACAAAACCAAACGACTTCAATATGAATTTCTTCATCTTACTTATCTTCTTCTGATATCTCTACAAATTTATTTATTTAAAAATCAAACAGTTTAGAATTTCGGATGTGTTACACTTGACATATAGTGAAACCACAAACAATTTCAAATCACGGATGCAGAATTTGAATTCTATGGGTTCGGAATTCCCCATCATACATATAAGCCGATGAGGAATTGCCAGTTTTATCCTTCAGATATTATTTGGAACTTGAGTACCTTGGGTAGTGTCATGCTTGTTTGAGGTCTAATTTGGAAAAGTACCATGATGACCACTGTACTGTGGCAACTTATAATTCTCTTTATAGTAATTTCTTTCCTCTTTTTGACAATTCATGACATGGCAATCCATGTAAATTACACTCATTAAGGACAAGTGTAATTCACAAGTGTAACAAACGTAATATAAGTGTAAATTAATTGAGTAATTTATCAATAAAATATTACAAGTGTAATTTTTATTGACTCATATGATAATTTGATGATTAACAAACGTAAAATACTTGTTAAATTAATTGAGTAATTTAACCTGTGAAGGTTCTATCAACAAAAGTGTCTATTGACTAGACTTTGAAAGAGCAAAGTACTCAAACCCTACCCTATGATTGCCTAAACTTATGTCCGGCGTCGGTGGAGGTCAGCCTTTGAAGGTGGCATCCTTTGTTAACAAGTAGTTTGGAGTTTCCAGTTCTAGGAGGCAACAAAACAAATGATAACTTGAATACTTATTCTTTCACCAAGGACGTCTCCTTTTCAAACCTGTTACAAAACCAAGAATATGTGTCAATGGAAGTCCCCAGCAAGTCAGTAACATATGTGGATGGGATACACACATATTCAGTGGACAATGGCAGAAGTGGAACAGATGAACATTAAAGAGGATTTGCAGTTAGCAGTTGGCTTGGATCTCATTCCCTAATCTTCTCCCAACTTTCTTCGGTCAAGAGAGTTTGTTTGCAATTGCAACTGCAGTGGGGAAACCGTTGCAATTAGATCAAGCCACTATCAATAAAACTCGACCTAGTTGTGCTAAGGTTAGAGTTCTAGTGGATTTGGCAGCTAGTCTACCAAAATCAGTGATCATGAAGGTAATTGATGAAGTTACTGGAAGTGTGAAGACTGAGATGATCACAGTGAAATACGATTACATTCCTAAGTATTGCTTGGAGTGTAGGATGCAGGGTCATGATTTGCCAATTGCAGGTTGCTGCATAACGAGGTGGAAGAAGAGGCCCCAGTTGACAATATACAAGAGAATGAAGAATCATATCACCCACCACTGGTGCATAATCTTCAAAAGGGCAGAGCAAAAATCCTATCAAGTGGAAAGATAGTTGGAGATCCAGGGGCCTGGAAGGTGGTTAGAGATAGAAGAGGTATGCAGAATTTAGAACAGCAACAACTACAACAGCACAAGCAACAACAATTGGTAACTTTTAATAAATACAGGGCGCTGGATAATTATACAACCACAGAGCAAGGAGAATTTTCTAATAGCAAAGATTCTATCATAGAGGTGCCTGATGCAACTCCATCTGATAGCACCAATCCTGTGGAAGAAAAGATGGACTCTAACAAGGAGCATGAAAATATCACAAACCAAAGTTTAATCAAGGAGAATGATTGTGATACAACTCCTTGTAAACAACAACAAGAAACAGCAATAGATATGGTGAAGTCACATGAATCAGATAGTGAATAAATAATGGGGAATAAGGAGCAAAGACCTTCTAATTTTACCTTAGAGCAGAATATGGAGAATCAGCAGCACCAGGAGGAAAGCATGAATATGGTTATTGAAAATGCAATCTGCAAGGCAACATTTATAGAATCATCAGGGCAACAATGGCAAGATAAGGATCCAAGCACAAATAATATGGCACTGGTTGAATATCCAACTATTGTAGCACAGGAGAATGAAGTTATAGTGTCACCAATGAAAGTTCTACATGACATTGTTTCACACTCTATAGGTACATCAAAAACCAACAATCACAATGGCAGAACTGTGCTAGCAACACAGAGGAAGTTGATTCACATTCTATAGGTTTTGCACCACCTCAGGCTGAAACACAACAAGTACAGAAACAGAGCAATTCTAGTAGCACAGACGAAGTTGATTCACATTCTTTAGGTTTTGCTCCACCTCAGGCTAAAACACAACAAAGCAGCTCTACCAATACAGTGGAAAGTTCATATGATGAGGATGACAAAAATGAAGCAGAGACCCCTATTAAAAGTAACAAATCTGGCAGAAAAGGGAAGAATAATGGCACTTCTGTTGGGAACCTACCAATTAGGACAACGTCAAGAAGAGGTTTGCAGAAGATCAAGGATTAATGATGAAGTTCTTTTTTTGGAATATTAGGTCTGTAAAAACTCAGAAGGCTTTTCATAGGGTACAAATGCTTAATAAAGCGCATAAATTTATTTTTATTGCTTTAATGGAGCCTTTTCAAAATGCTAGAGTCATCAACAAATATAGGAGACAATTGGGAATGCCTTTTGCAAGATCCAATTGTAATGGAAAAAATTGGGTTTTTGTCAAAGATGGTTTTCAGGTAGATATTGTAGTGGATGCTGCACAACATATCACTTTGAAGGTTAAGGATACTACTTCGAATAAAGCTTTTTTTGCAACACTGATCTATGCAAAATGTGACAGTGGACAAAGAGTGGCTTTGTGGGAAGACATTTATCAGTTGTACAATTCTATGGTACTTCCATGGATTATAGGTGGGGACTTCAATGTGGTTTTGAATGCTGAAGAGAAGTTAGGAGGACTTGATGTACAACTTGCAGATGTAGATGATTTTGCAAACTGTATTGGAGATTGTGACTTCATAGAAGTGTCTTTCAGAGGTAGTCCTTTCACATGGTGGAATGGTAGAGCTGCATCGGACTGTATTTTTGAAAGGCTTGACAGAGTGTTAATTAACCATGAGTTTCAAAATTGGTTCAACCATACAGAGGTTGAACATCTATCTAGGACTGGGTCTGACCATGCTCCAATGTTGCTAAATTGTGAAGAATCTGTGGTAAATATAAGTAAACCATTTAAATTTTTGAACTTTTGGGTAGAACATGATACTTTCATGCAAGTGGTGAGTCAGAACTGGCCTGTTGCTACTCCTGATGATGCTGATAACCCATTTTTTTTTGCTTCAAAGAGAAATTAAAGAAGCTAAAATCTGCACTCACTTCATGGAGCAAAGATGTCTATGGTGATATTTTCAAGCAATTGATAATTAGAGAGCATATTGTAAAAGTCAAGGAAATTTTATTTGAAGAAGACCCTAGTAGTGTGAATAGAGAAGTTATGCAGAAAGCACAAGCAGAATTCAAAAAATATCTGCACTTTGAGGAAGAATATTGGAAACAAAAAGCAGGTTTTACTTGGTTTGAAAAGGGGGAAAGAAATACTAGATTCTTTCATAGTCTTGTGAAAGGAAGAAGAAAGAGATTACATTTGGCCAGAATTCATACTGATCAAGGGGATCTTTTGGAGGATAAAGAGATGATAAAAGATGAAGCTATAAGATTCTATCAAAAACAGTTTACTCAAGAAAGGGATGCCACTGATTTTTCACTCCTTAGGCATATTCCACAGGTAATCACTGAAGATGATAATGCCTCACTCAACATTATGCCCACTATGGAAGAGGTTAAAAAGGTTGTTTTTAACCTAAATGGAGACAGTGCAAGTGGTCCTGATGGTTTTACTGGCCTTTTTTATCAGAAGTGTTGGGATATCGTAGGCAATGATCTATGGAAGATGGTTTTAAGTTTCTTTTTAGGCAACACTCTTCCCAAATCCATCACTCATACCAATCTTGTGTTGTTACCTAAGAAAAATGATATTCACTCTTTTTCAGATCTCAGACCTATAAGTTTGAGTAACTTTGTCAATAAAGTTATCTCTAGGGTTATTCATGATAGGCTAGAACTGGTGTTACCTAGATTAATCTCTGCTAATCAATCAGGTTTTGTGAAGGGAAGAAACATTATTGAAAATGTATTACTTACTCAGGAAATTACTTCTGACATCACCAAAAGGGGAAGACCAGCCAATCTTATCATCAAGCTTGACATGACTAAGGCATATGACAGAGTATCATGGTTCTATTTGATGAAAGTTTTAAGAAAGATGGGTTTCTCAGAGGTGTTTGTTAATATCATCTGGAGAATTAGTGCAAATAATTGGTATTCAGTCTTGGTAAATGGACAGGCTCAAGGTTTCTTTCACTCCACTCGAGGGGTCAAACAAGGTGACCCCCTATCCCTAGCATTATATATTTTAAGTGCAGAAGTCTTAACCAGAGCTTTGAATGCTTTATTTGATGATGGTCAATATGTCGGATATGGCATGCCTAAATGGAGTGCAAATTGGAATCACTTAGCTTATGCTGATGATACTATCATTTTTGCAGCAGCACATGAGAAATCACTCCGAAAAATTATGAAATTGTTGGGGAAGTATGAAAATCAGTCTGGCCAGTTAATCAATAAAAGGAAACGTGCTTGGTACATGCATCAGAATACTGGTGCTCAACTGGTAGGTTTGGTTGACAGATGTACAGGATTTTCAAGAGGTCGGTTCCCCTTCTCTTATTTAGGGTGTCCTATCACCCATGATAAGAAGAGGAAGAGTGATTATAATGAGCTCATTACAAAGGTGAAAAATAAGCTCCAAACTTGGAAAGGGAGGATGCTCTCCTATGGTGGTTAGGCTACATTAATTTGTAGTGTGTTACAAAGTATCCCTATTCATATTTTACCTGTTATTGTCCCACCAAAATGTGTAATTACTGAGTTACACAAGATTTTTGCAAGGTTCTTTTGGAACAACAAAGAAACAGGCGGAAGTAAACATTGGGTTGCTTGGCATGATGTTTGTTTACCCAAAGAGGAAGGTGGTCTAGGTTTCAGATCACTGTTTGATGTATCCAAGGTTATGTTTGCAAAGTTATGGTGGAAATTTAGAACTGGTAGATCACTATGGGCAAATTTATGTGGAGTAAATATTGCAAGAAAGAAATACCTACTGTAGTTCTTTGGAAGAGGGGCTCCCAAGGTTGGAAGTACATGTTAGAAAATAGGGCTGAGCTAGAAAAACATATTTGGTGGGAACTTAGGGGTGGCACCACTAACATATGGTATGAAAATTGGACTAAGCTTGGTCCATTACACCAAGACCCTGAATGTCAGATTTATCCAGAATTGGGGGATTTTAGTGAATTGATGAATGACGAAGGCTGGGATATGGACAAATTGCAACAGTTTCTACCTGAAAGAGTAGTTGAACATGTTGGAATGCAAGTGAGCAACTTTATACCCTCTAATCTTTTGGATAGACCATGGTGGTTACTCAACAATACAAGGAAGTTCAAGGTTAGCTCTGCTTGGGAGTTAATAAGATACAAGAAGGAAGTGAACGTCCAATATAAGCCGGTTTGGGTGAATGATTTACCTTTTAAATTTGGTTTTTTAGCTTGGAGGATTTGGGGTAACAAATTACCTGTGGCCACTACTATTGCTCATTGGGATAGGTTTGTAAATCCTAATTATGTTTGTTGTACAGTACCATTGCCTGAAACTGTACAACATCTTTTCCTATCTGGTGAGATGGCCAAAAAGGTATGGTTATATTTTGCAAATGCTGCTGGAATTCAAGGTCCTTTCATTCAAATTAAACAAACTGTCATGAAGTGGAGAGATGCACAGGGAAATGACAAATTTAAAAGTGTCATGGCCGTTGTCCCTATCATAGTTCTCTGGTTCTTATGGAAAAGACGAAATATCATTCTTCATGGTGGTTTATATGCTTATGAGAAGATTATTTTTGATGCAAATAATACTATTCATAAGTTTATAAGATCCAAGTTTCCTTTTTTCCAGTATCTACCTAAGAGTTGGCCTCATATTGTCAAAGTTTTGGAAAGATGGCAACCCAGTTACAGTTATAGGATTGTGAGGTGGTTACATCCTCCTCTTGGATGGTATAAATGTAATACTGATGGTGCATCCAAAGGTAATCCTGGCCTTAGTTCAGCTGCTTTTTGTGTGAGGATCAGTGAAGGTAACATTTTAGGGGTTAAAGGGAGAAGCTTACCACTTTCAACCGGTATTGTTGCTGAAGCAGTGGCTATAAGAGAGGGAATTCAATTTTGCATTGAAAGGAATCTATTGCCACTAATAATAGAGACTGATTCGTTATCTATGACAAATTTTATCGAAGGAATTTGGTAAGTGCCTTGGAGTGTGGTTAAGGAGGTTGAAGCAATCAACAGAATGAGGAATCATGTTCCTATCCAAATGAAACACACTCTAAGGGAAGGAAACACCCTGGCAGGAACCTTAACTGTTGATTTTGCAGGTACATATATGGTGGAAAACTTTCAGGATCTTCCTAATGCAGCAAAGAAAATTCTTAATATGGACAAGTGGAGTATGCCTAATTTTAGGCTCACTCCACTTCACAACAGATAGGTTGGGTAGTTCTACATTAATCAGTATGATTGCGATTAAAGGAAACTAGAAAAGGATACTTTTACTCTAATGTAATGTCTGAAATGAATTCATATAGTCTGTCTATCATGCCACCTGGTGAGAGTTTAAGGTGTACAATGATTACAGACTAAGGCATAGGCATTGGGTGAGGTTTTTCTTCTACTGTTTTCTGGTGATACTTGGTGTATTATGGTTTGAGGATGTTTGGTCATTTATTATTCACTAATTTTAAAAATATTAGTAAGTGGTAAGTCACATCCTTAAAACTAAAACGGAAAATTATCTGGTTTTTGCATTTGTGCTGGAACCTTGAGATTATTTTTGATGTGTGGTATTAGTTTCTTCGAAACTCATCCTATCGAAGATAATTAATAGGGAAAGGCACAAGTTTCTTACCTAATAGTTTTGTTTTGAGTTTAGAATCAGACCGATTTATAGAATTAATTGTTCTCAATAGCAATTCTATGAATCATCAATGAAGCAATAGTAGACGACGCATATCACATTCAAATAGTTCATGAAAGAAGGCGTACCGTACCGTGTGCTTTATGAAGATATCCCATTTTTTCATCTCTTTTGTCGAGGTATGAAGCGGATGTGGTGCTTGAATTGAATAACAAGGTACATAGTTAGATAGATCTATCTATAGAAGTATCTACAAATCGAAGTAGCAAGAAACCTGAGAAAATTGAAGGAAAGGTATCCTTCAAGTTTGGAATTAACTATTGGTAACTATTTTGACCAAGAAAAGGTCAAACACACTTAACTATTAAATTAAGTTAATTGTGGACTCAATTAACATTTTCAAAACTTATAATCTTTTTAGAAATACAAAATAATCCACCCACTAAATAAACAAACTTTCCACTCCCTCTCTCAAATGTTCTCCTCTCTCCCACAGAAGAAAAGTTCTCCTCTCTCAAAAATTCAAAATTGCTTTAATCGGGATAATCAATTTCTCCGGCAACTTTCAACTTTCGATGGCCGTATTTTGAACTTTCGATTAGTCTATTCTAACCATCCAAGGGAACAACGATTTATAGGTAAAGCTTCATTTTTTTTGAAAAAAATTAAGGTTTTTTAGTTTTTTTTTAAAAAAAAATACTGCAAAGAGACTATTCTGAGGGAGGTTACAATTTGCATATACTCTTCCCTCAAGCGCTGCCCAGGTTTTGTGCGATTCCGGTTAAGACAATGAAGCTTTTGCTTGTTTATGCTTTAGGAAGTGGACCAACTGATTGTTCTAGGAAGAGCAAATCGACTAACCCCACCCTATGCTTTAGGTTTAGAATCTGCAGCCTGTAGGTTTAGAAGAAAGGAAAGTTTTCGTCTCAAGTAGTTGACGCGAAAAACAGGAAAGTCATACAAAATTGGAATTACCTCTGATCTAGGAAAAACTGTTTCTCCACCCTTATCAACATCTGATAAATACATAAGGACAGTAGCTACACGATGACCGCCTATCTCTTGATTAATTTTGTCCATAAAATAATCAAAATGTGGCTCGTATTTTTGCCCATGTTCATAATGCAATAGCATTGGTTCTCCATTATTTGATTGACAAGTTGGCGTAAAAATAAGAATTTATAGAGATGAAGCCAATCAATGTCATAGAGGTAGTACTAAAGTACCTTCAGGGAGAAATGTCCAGGCAGCTATTCTTGCTTCCACATTAGCAACAACTTCATCCTTTAATAAAGATTAACAAAAGTTTCAACACTAATAAAGTTCTGAAAAAGAAATTGCAGCATAGAAAAGAGGTACAGGACATGAACCTGAGCTTTGTTGAGAAATGCGCCAGTACTTGTCCGATATTCACTCTCTATGCTCTCCCCTGTTTCAAGGTCAGTTACCATGGATTTCTCCAGACTATCTTTAGCCTGATTCACCAAAGCCAATGTTATTCAAAGGCGAAAAATTCAAAAGTGAAATAATTTGGAGATGAATATATATATATATACATATAGAGGATGCTAAGTTCACATCCAATGATATATAGGGGCTAAACACTCGGTTAGTCAGTGTAATCTCATAAGAGGGGCCTGGAGAGAGTAGCGCGAAAGCAGAACTTGTGAACATAGAGAGGATGTTTAGACCCTCAACTCAAATAATAGTAAAATGTATATAAGAAATTATTTTCTCTTTAAACTAACGCAAAATGACCTTTACTTGCATTAACTAAAACTCCCACATTTCTGAATGAAAGATAGGAACAGAGAAAGAAAGAGGGAAAAAAAAGGCTAACCAGTGAGATGAAATGATCACACTCTTCATTTGTCAAAAAATTCCTATATATAAAAACTCTGCATAAATTCAAAATCATTATCAGGGCTCCATCAAATTAATCTTCATTCTTTGCAATTCTCAGGAAATCAGCCATATATAAACAAACCTGGGGTGCCATGAAATTTGTGTAACCCGTGTTGGATCAATTGGAGTCGACAAGGAATTAGTCGTCAGTTTCAAAATCGACGTTTTTCTGAAAGAAAAAAAAAAGCATTCATCAAAGCTGTAACCAGTAAAAGAGGAAGAGGGAAACTGGAGATAGGATCAGTACATTTCTTTATTGCCATTCCACAAGGAAGATTGACGTGAAGAATGAGATAGGTGAGGAAAAACGGCAATGAAACAGAGGGAGAATAGAAGAATAACATGAAGACAACAATCCATCAAACAACACAGAGTGTTACACGAAGTCGTCTTTCTTCTTGATTCCAATTTTTTTAATAAGAGAAGTGACTTTGTGAGAAGTTAACACTTAATAACCATATCAGAAATCAACTCAAAAGTAAATTTAGTTTTCATTGGAGAAATCTTTCGTGGATTACTTTCATTTTCTGTTATTAGATTATGGTATGTAGCTTTTACTGCCAGTGTACAATGTGAAAAAAAGGAGAGTACTTTTTTGGTAAATGACATTGAAGTTAAAAAGGAAAATACTTTATGCCTACAACTGACTTCATTTTATTTTTTTTGGAAAAAAATATTTATGTTATTTATACTGCAAATTGCAAACAGTCAAATATTACTTGAATAGTAGTATTAACTATTAGACACTATCTGTCCAACAATATTTGTCCACTATTGACTTTACGCTCTTCTTAAAAACTATAAACAAAAGAATAATTTTACTATATCACCCTTTCAATATAATAAATACAATGTCTTGAAAAATGTAATAGAGAAGAATTATAATTAATGATAAGAATAAATTAGGAACTAAGTGTAAAATTATTCATTGATTTCATATAGTGAACAAAAATTATTGGACATCCTAAAATAGAACAGTGGACAACTATAATTGGACAAAGGGGATAACTCCTTTTTCCATTTTTTTCAAGCAATAAACACTCTACTGGCATGCATGATATAGTGTATTTATTGCACCTAACACTGTAAATCAATTACCCTGAAGAAAAAATTGTAATTGACTGATCGGTGAAATTTGATTCAGAAAATTATGTTTTGGGCCTCATTGTTGAGCCGGTCCAAGAATACTTCTAATACGATCGTATGATTTTTTCCCAAAAGCTCATTTAAGGCCATTTTTTAAATTTATTAACATAGCGATAAATTCATGATTTTAAAAGATGATCTTACCTATCATTTCTTGTAATACGGTGAAACGTATAGCATAATTTATGTACATCTATTTAAAACGTTTGCATATTTATGAGGTAATTTTGTACATATTTTTTCGAAGTATTTTATCTGTCCTTATATCAAGACAACCGCTATACTACTAGTTTATTTCGATTTTCTATTAAAGTATACTAACTATACATGTCTATAAAATTTGGAAAAACACCAAATTAGAACTCTTGAAGACAAATCATAAACTTTTATCTCTGTTATTAGCAGCCCGTCGTCACTTTCTTGCTTGCAAATTCAGATTTTGTAGTCACTGTTCCATCATTTCCAGCCAAAGCCATGTACTTATCCTTCCTTGTAAAATTGGTGCACTCATACGATAACGTTGCGGCAATCGTCCTCTGTATATAATTTGCCACATCATGGCTTGATTTTCCAGCTTTACAAGTCAATTCATATGGCCATTTGTTCAAAAAATTCACCTCATATGAAGGGCTAGGATTCATGAAGAAATAAAAAGGGTCCATTCCTTTCCAACCCCTAGCCGTCGTGCCATGGAACATGCTCATTTTATTACACATCGCCACGGGGACAAGCTCGTTGGTTAATTCCGCGAATAAAGCCGAAAATCTTAGTAAAAATGGTTCTCTACATGTTGTTCCTTCAGGGCATATAACCAAATCACCTTCTTGTAAAAGTTTTTTGATCATGTTAGCATCCGTTATGCGGTCACGGCTAAGACGGACCGTTTTAATAGGTGAAATAATCTCAGAGAGTCGTGACAGCGAGTAAGTGACAGCAGGGATGGGCCTACCTAGGGCCGTTGAGAGGAAAATTGGGTCAAGAAGGGTTCGATGAGAGGAAATAAATAGGACACCGGTTTGGCCCGTGGATTTTCGGGCCGGAGGAGGTGGGTTGCCTTTGATTATGACTCGAACCCCAAGGGACCAAAAGGCGTAATAGACTAAAGGCATCGGTAAGAGCGTACCCGCGGCTATACGCAAACATGCTAAGAGGAATCCAACAGGGATCCAAAGAATAATGATGAGTGCCATTAAAGGGCTTGGTTTTTGAACAAGTCGGCCATCATGGAACACAATGGGCTTTGGTAACTTATCTTGGCTCATGGGCTTCACACCAGGCTCAGGTGGTACTATGTAACTTTCCTGCATAAGGTAATAAGAGAAGAGTTGTTTTATTCCCGATCTAAGTTATGTGCTCGATAATGTAAACTTTTTAGATTATCCAAGGGATTCAAAGAGACTCAAACTCGAGACCTCTGGTTAAGAATGAATGACTACTAACCACAACCCTTGTTGGTATTAGTGTAATTTGATATAAATAAACAAATTACTCTTTTTGTTTCCTCTTTACCTAATCTAATATAGTAAAAATAATTTTTTTTCTTTTTTCTATCAGCTTTATCAAATTACGAGAGAATTAATACATTCTCCAATTATATATTTATGATTGAACAATCATTTCTCAAAATTACGGAATATTAGAAATCAATTTTTAAAAAAGTATACTAATATATATGGAAAATTTAGTAAAATGTTGCAGCAGATGATTCACTTGTTGGATACAGGTCCAGAACCATAAGCTTATCTAACATGTAAGTCAATTATTATAACAGATGAGTCATCTGTTTCAACCGGTAATTGATCTGTTGCATTATGTAATTAATCTGTTGCAATATATGACTTGTCTGTTTGGATAAATTTCTGGTTTTGTCTTAGTTTGGCCTGGTACTGTAACATGTATTCAACAGGTAAGCCATTTGTTGCAACAAATGAATCGTCTAGTGCAGCAGATGACTCATATGTTGCAATAAATAATTCATCTATTGTGACAAGTTTCTGGTTCTTTCCCAATCTGGCCTGATACTGTAATATGTATCCAACAGGTAAGCACTCTGTTGCAACAGATGACTCATCTGGTGCAACAGATGACTCATCGATTGCAATAAATGACTTATTTGTTGGGATAAACTTCTGATTCAGTCCAGCTTGACATGGTACTGTAATATGTATCCAACAGGTAAGCACTCTGTTGCAACAGATGACTCATCTGGTGCAACAGATGACTCATCGATTGCAATAAATGACTTATTTGTTGGGATAAACTTCTGATTCAGTCCAGCTTGACATGGTACTGTAATATGTATCCAACAGGTAATCTATCTGTTGCAACAGATGACTTACCTGTTGGGTACGCGACTGTAATTTTTTAAGAAACACTCAAAATATCAAAATGAAAAATTCGAGTAAAAATCATTAGTTTACTTACAAAAATCACCTATGATGTAATGCCCAATGATATATGAATGAAAATTGGTTTGAAAGCAGCAGTACAATATAAATATCAACTGAAAAACCTTATCTGTAGCTTCTTCTTCTACTTCATTGGTTTCTCTATTCAGCTCCCTCAGGATCAACGGAGTGAAACTATCGAGGAGTCCGCTGGAAATTTCCTATTTGATTATGGGATATTGGTTTTTTCTTTCCCTATTTTTAATAAAAAATTTACAGAAATCCCACATTTTAGTTTATTTATCATCGTTATCTCCTATAAGTTTTACAAATCTCTAAAATTCCTCATTTTTGCGCATCAGATTAGTGTATTTCGCGCATCAGATTAATGTATCTCGTGCATCAGATTAGTGTATCATGTATAAAATGTACATCAGATTAATGTATCATGTATAAAATGTAATGTATCTTACTTAACGATTAATGTATCTCGCGCATCAAATTAATGTATCAGCACTTATATTATTGTATCCGTTTGAGAAATTTCTGTAATTATAATTTTTTAAAGAATAAATTATAATTTTGCCTTAAAAGTATGTGATTTCTATAATTTGCCCCTTTTTAATTGGTTTTGTTTTTTTATCTGTCCTTTGCAGATTTAGTTAATGGGCTTAGCACTTTAGGCTAGCCCACTGTTGTAAATATCAACATTTTTTTTAATTTTTTTTCTAGTTAATAAATCAGACCCCCTGGGTCCTTTGAATTAAAAAAAAAAAAGAACAATATTTATTGAGGAAGAATATCTAATAATGACTAATTTCTCCAAACACGTTTTTTTAAAATAACAATATATTTACTTTCGCTAAATTGAAATTTTACGTTATTGGATTATTGATGTTCTTGTTAGGAATAATTATCTACTGCTAATTCACATATTAACATTCTTAATATTTGAATTTAGTCTTTAATTCGTACTTTTTTCTCTCTCATTTTTTTTCTTTAAATTTCATCAATTACAATTCGGTTTGTATTTTCATTTTTTGTTAACATTAATTTCATTCTTGAATATTACCTCAAAAATTCAATCCTAAATAGTTCTGGTTTACTTTATGGAAATAATTTGACTGAAACAATTTAGGAAAATTAATTTTGTAGCTTCAAAGTTACCTAAAGATACTTTTTGTTCCTGTATAGAAATAGAAAAATGGAAGTTGTAATCCTAAATAGTTTTATTTACTTTATGAAAATAATTTGAACAAAGAAATTTAGGGAAATTACTTCTATGGCTTAAAATTTACCCTTTGATACTTTCTTTTCAATTCTTGTTTCATGTATTAGGCCTAAACTCAAACTTTATTAAGAAGCTTCACACTTAAAAAATCATATTTACTAACGCGTTCCATTCTTCATAATTGACATTATTAAATTTTGAGAAATAATAAAAGAACAATATGCTACTATGATGTAAAAATATAAAAAGAACATCTTCAAATTTATAGAAAAAGATTGTAATAAAACACTTTGCAGTAGTGACACATAACAAAAAAAGAAAATAACATATGCAATGCGTGTCCAATATATTATATATGGTAACCCTAGCACAAAAAAAAAAACTAACCTATAGTCTAATTATAATACTAGATAAGGAAATTAAGTGATGCACTATGAAATCAAAACATGATTGATTTTGCATTTTGGAAGAGTAATTCAAATTTAGAGTAGAAAACCAAATTTATATAGGATTTGGAATTTACTTAACTCGTGTCTAATTAAGATTTATAGTCAAATTAATATAGGAATATGATTTATAATCCTAATTAAATTAGGCTTTACACTTTTATAAATAGGAATCGTGCTAGCAAAGTAGAGAGCATTCAAATCATTGGAATCAAACAAAATGGAAACAGAGTACTCTGTTTCTCAATTTCATCCTTTAGCTGCAAAAACAGCTTCAATAAGTTTATCATCATTCGGATCAGGAGGTCCTTTTAGTTTTGATTCATTCTCTCGGAAATGGAATTCGAAGAAGAAGAAAGAACCTTTTCCTGAGGAAAAATCATCGAATAAGCACGAGGCAATGGGGAATGAGTGGTTAGAAACAGGGAATTGTCCTATCGCGAAATCTTGTAGAGGTGTTAGAGGAGTTCTCCCAATTGTGGCATCAGCTTTTCAGCTACCTCCTGGAATTAAATTCAAATGCCCACCTGCAGTTGTTGCAGTCAGGGCTGCACTAGCTAGGACTGTTTTTGTGAAGACTATGCGGCCGCAACCATTATTTTCGAAGATGTTAGTTATTGGTGCATTGGGAATGGCAGTTAATATTCCATTAGGGATATGGAGAGAACACACTGACAAGTTCTCATTATCATGGTTTACTGCAGTTCATGCTGCTGTTCCTTTCATAGCTATGTTGAGGAAATCAGTTGTGATGCCTAAATCAGCTATGGCATTAACCATTGCTGCTTCTGTATTGGGACAGATCATTGGCTCAAGAGCAGAGCGACTTCGACTACAACATATTCAGTCTAGTCCAACAATCGAAAGAATAACTAACATCAAGTATCAATAATTGAGTTCTAATCTAACTTCTTTATGTATGTAAGTAATTTTTTTAATTATAAATATAAATTTTGGACGTTGGACCGAACTCATACTCGACCTTCTAGTTCAACCAATGCGTAACATGTGCAGTGCTTGTTCAATATTTTATACTTTTATATCTATCTATGGAAGCACAAACAAAAATCTAAGCAAGAAATAGTGTAATTATATTCCATAGAAAATTAGGAATAACATGGCATGTGGTGAAGATATGGAAACACGCAAAGCACAATGAATCTAAGTTGCTCGTATGCTTCAGGTTAGGTGTTGCATTCGTGTCGAATGTCGATATAATACGTGAAATTAGTATTGAATTTGATCAACCAATTTTGGATACTTCAACCAAATTTGACATATGATTTTCATAATCAAAACAAAAATGATGATGAAATTGAATGAAATGGGATATAGCTTGTATAGAGAAATTTCTATGTCAGTCTGTTAGCTTTCATCTCCTTACGGGATTCTTCTCTTGATCAATACTTTCTCTTCATAATGCCTAATAAGTTTCTCACATAATTCAACGTATAACTCTATTTTAGGAATTTGAATTCCTGCAACCATATTCGTGTCTGAAAATGTATACCTAAATCTCAAAATTTCTATTACGAAGGGTCCAACTTCTATTAGATATATCTATATCCGTATGGCACATCTGTACTTGAGTCCCAGCAACTTAGGTATGAGTACCCCTACATATCATGCTGTGATTAGAACCAAAACATGATTAACTTCGCTACTTCTTTAATCCACTGGAAACTTGGTTAAACAATTACTCCTAAAAATCACATCATCTGTCTACTCTAAATACGTAAGCATGCATGAATTTGGCCACAACAAACGACTTCAATGTTTTGGAAATCAAAATCCTCCTTAGTTTAGTCTTATCTAAATTTCTTCATCTTACCTGTCTTGTTCTTATTTCTTTACACATTAATTTACTGTATTTATTAACCAGATAGTATATGAATTTCAGCTAAGTTACACTTGGAAACATACAATGAAACCACAACCAATTTGAAAATTGCAGATTCATAATTTAAACTTCATGGGTTCTGAATTCTCCAACATCAGTAATTTAATCATATACATATAAGCCGCCAAGTATTTGTAAACACCAAGAGCAGCCTGTAGCTACATACAATAAATCTACAAGCATGACAAGCTCAGTTTCTTTTTTTTTGCTGCTGACATATTCTAAGACTAACATCTCATTTCTCCAATCAATTGGATCACATCCCTTATTGGTAAACCTAATTTAGTAGTTACATTTACATCACACTGCTTTAGGAAAATTCTTCAAGACTTCCATGAGTTGA